AATTTTTTTCTTTTCGAGACCAGCCTGAGCTATATAGCGAGTTCCAGGTCAGTCTCAAAAAAATTTTTTTTTTTGTTAAGGTGGAAGATTTGAGAGCATTGTTTTCTAACCTAAGCATTGATTGCTCTAGACTTTTTTCAAGGTACTGCTGTTTTTAAAGGTTTTTTTCTTCCTCATTTAAGTTTTATTTTTCATTCCATTCAGATTACTTTCTATAATTTCCTTTTTGAGTACTTCTTTAACTCAGTTGTCATTTAGAAGTGTGTTATTTGGTTTCTAATAATTGGATTTTCCAGAGATGTTTCTATTACTGATTTCTAATTTCATTCCTTGGTGGTCAAAGTACATAGTTCGACTTGAATCCTTTAAAAATTTTTTGACTTAAAACAACAGAAATTTATTCTGTCATAGTTTTGTATGACAAAAGTTCAAGATCATTGACAATGGGCTAACATCAAAGTGTTTAAGGCTTAGAAAATGGTGCCAGGCACAGTGGCGCATGCCTGTAATCCCAGCACCCGGGAGGCTGAGGCAAGAGGATCACTGCAAGTTCGAGGCCAGCCTGGGCTGCACAGTGAGTTTAAGGTCAGCCTGAAATGCATAGTGAGACCCTGTCTCAAAAAAAAATCTGTATCCTCCCTCCACTCCCTTGTCTTGAGACAGATTCTCACTATGTAGTTCAGGCTGGCCTTGAACTCTGGGCCATCCTCTTGCCTTAGGCTCCCAAATGCTGGGTACAGGTGTGTGCCATCATGCCCAGCCTTTCCTGGTCTATCTTAATTAATGTTCCTTGTGCATTTGAAAAGGGTGTATATTTTGAATTTGTGGAGTACACTTGTAAATGTCTATTAAATTTAAGAGGTTGATAGTTTTATAATTTTATTCAAATCTGTGTTATTTTTTTTTTTTTTTGGTACTGGGGATTGAACTCAGGACCTTGTGCTTGTGAGGCAGGCGGTGGAACCACTGAGTTAAATCCCTTGTCCTTGTTCTTATTAATTTTGTGTATTGTTCTATTATAGACAGACTATAATTATGGATTTGTCAGTTCCTCCTTGCAGTTCAATCATTTATTGCTTAATTTTTTTTTTTTGTAGCACCAGGGATGACTGAACCTCATTTGAAGTATAAGCTCTGCTTTCAATTCCCAATGTCAAGGGCTGGGGAAAAAGCTCCCAGAAAAGAACCCCAATTGAGCTACATCCCCACCCTTTATTTATTTATTTTTGCTTTTTTTGAGACAGGGTCTCACTATGTAGTTGAAACTGACGTGGAACTATGTAGCCCAGGCTGGTCTTGAACTCACAGCGATCCTCCTGCCTCAGCCTCCCAAGTGCTGGGATTACAGGCGTGCGCCACCATGCCAGGCAACTATTTCTAATTATTATTTTGAGACAGGGTCTTGCTAAATTGGTCAAGCTATGTTTAAATTTATGATCTTCCTGCCTCAGCTTCCCAGTGTGCTAGAATTACAGGTATGTGCCCAGCTTGCTTAATATATTTAAAAAGCTATGGTATTAGGTACATAAACATTTAGGATTATGTCTTCTTGATAAATTTACCCTTGTATGACATTAACATGGCCATTCCAGATTTCTTTTGGTTACTGTTATCATGGTATATCTTTTTCCATTCTCTTACTTTGAACCTATTTCTGTCTTTAAAGTGGATTTATTGTAGACAGCATAGGGTTGTCTGGAGCTCCTTAACTCTCCAGGCCACTCTTTCTTTGTAGGGAGCTCTGGTAACTAGAGCACTGTTCCTCACAATGAGCCGTGACTACCTTCTATCACCCCTCCCCCTAACAGAATAACATTTAAGAGTTATTTCTGCTTCTGCAGGACATACATTTAGACTACAGCGATATATAAACCCATGGTAGCTCCACAGGCAAGGCTGGATTTGGCCACAGTGGGCCAAGCAGGACCATGGAGGATCAGCCAAGGCTATCTGAGAAGTACCATAGGCTACACTGGAAATGGGGGATGGGAAAGAGAAATCTAATTTCTATATGGGAAGATTTGAAGAAAGTGTTTCAATTGAGTAAATGTACAGGACCAATTCAAGAGTACTGTAGCTCAAAAAGGCCTGTTGGGATTGAGGAACACTTTCCTGAACGGGTAAGGAGAACTTGCTCTATGACCAGTGTATTAGTTCCCTATTTTGGCTATAACGTATCATCACATATTTAGTGCCCTAAAATGACACAAATGTATTTTTTTTCTTCTGGTGGCAGGAATTGAACTTGGGACCTTGTGCTTGTGAGGCAGGTGTAGTGCCACTGAGTTAAATCCCTGGCCCTCACAAATTGATTCTTATGATCTAAAATTAGTCTAGGCAGGGCTGAGTTTCTTCTGGAAATTCTTCCATGGAGAATGTTTCCTCTCCCTTTGTAGTATCTCGAGGTTGCTTTCATTCCTTGCATTTTCTAGCTCACCTCATAGCTCTTCTTCACATCCCTCCATCCTCTTGTTTTTGCTGTCACATCTCCTATTAGTAACTTAGATCTTCCTGCCTTTGTGGTTATGTTGCTTGCACTCACATAGATAACCCAATATAACCTCCCCATCTCAAGGCCCTTAACTTTAATTTCCTTTGCAGAGTCCCTTTAACCATGCAACGTAAGGGGAACCATTGCTTAGCCTAACTTAGCCAGTTACAAGTTAGAGCTATATAGGAGGCAAGAAAGGTGGCATGTCCGCCATTCCCAGGATCTACTGGGAGGCCTGCCCTGCCCAGCTTTGTGCGAAGAGTTCTGCTCTTTGACTGTGAGCCTCTTAACTGTTTGCTTTTGTGTGAGATGACCAATTTTGGTTCAATCAACTCTGTCCAAGATAGTGAGATCAGGTGGTATCAAATCCACAGCTAAACCACTCAGGGAGAAACTGAGAATGCTTAGAGTTAGGTTGGTATGGCAGTACACATCTTTAATCCCAGCACTCTGGGAGGCTGAGGCAGGAAGATTCAGTTAGAGGCCAGCCTGGGCAATTTAGAGACTTTGAGATTCTGTCACAAACAACAGACACACAGACAACAGCTAGAGATGCAGCTCAGTGCAAATGCTCTAAATTCAATCCCCACTACTAAAAAAGGAAAGAAAAAAGGCTAGCCTGGGTAACTTAGCAATTTATACTGTCACAAAGTTTGGAATGCAACTCAGTGCAAAGGCCCTGAGTTCCCCTAGTGCTGAAAAAAAATAAACAGCCAGACATGGTGATGCACACCTGTACTGTAATCCCAGTACTTTGAAAAGCTGAGACAGAAGGAGGATCACAGGTTTGAGTCTAGCTTGGCAATTAGAGACTTAGCAAGACTGTGTACCAAAATAAATTTTTAAAAGGTCTGGGGATGTAGCTAAGCATGAAGTTCCTGGGTTCCAGTACTGGAAAAAAAAATGCTTAGAGAGGGGTCTTTGGACAGAGGAGTCAGGCAAAGTGAACAAAAGCATGAGTTGTACAGCCAACCTCACAGGTTTGAGTCCTAACCCTGCTGTGTATTAGCTGCAGGGCCTTGAACAACTATCTTAACCATCAAATGGTTAAGAGGGTATCTTATTTCTCCATCAATTTTGAAAGATAGTTTTGCAGGATGTATCAGCCTAGGTTGGAGGTTGTTTTAAAGCTTGAAATACCTCACTCCAGGCTCTCCTTGACTTGAGGGTTTGTGTTGAAGTCTGTTTTGATTCTGATGGACTTTCCTTTGCATGCAATTTGTTCCTTTACTCTGTTTATAGTATTTTGTACTTCTGTTGGGCTTCCAGGATCTTGATTATTGTATGTCTAGGTGTAGATGTTTTATCATAACTAGTTGGAGTCCTATGTGCCTCAGTTATCTGTATGCCAAGTTCTTTTGCTCTGTTTGGGAAGTTTTCTATCATTAATTCTGTGAATTTTAATGTCATTTGTGCTTTCTCCTGCTTTTTTGTGGAGTCCTATCATTTTTGTTTTTTTGTACTAGGGATTGAACTTGGGTACTTGTGCTTGGAGGCAGGCTTTTACAGTGCTAGAGTGAGTTTTATAAAGTTCTCTGCATAGAAATGACAGCTTCATAGTGGGTCTTTATTAATTAAGTTACTTTAAAAATTAATACACAACTGCTGCTTTCCAGAAAACTTGAAAAATAAAGGTTATGAAAATTTAATGAAATACATTTCAAAAATACCACATTAAAGTTATACAATGGTAAATAAACTTTTCCTTCTATCATGTATTTTCCTTCAGAGAAATCAGTACAGGGCTGTGGGTGTAGCTGAAGGGTAGGTCACTTGCCTAACATGCTCAAGGTCCTGGGTTCCACCCCTAGCATGAAAAAATGCTAGCAAGCATGATGGGGATTTCAAAGTCCTGGAGGGGCAAAACCCAGGACTCTACATCCTCTGGCTTAGTATGTCTCAACACAAGGACAAAGGTTCATCTCCTGTTAGAATGTACACATTAGTATAAACAATAGCTTTTGTTGGCTATAACAGGATATATTTGTAGTTTCAATTCTTTAGAACATTTTACCAGGAAAAAAATTAGTCTTCCTGTAACAAGCGAGGAAGAGGAAAAAGGGGCAATGAGTTGGGAGAGGGATAAGGGGGAAGAGGGAGAGGGAGAGGGAGAGAAAAAAAGAGGAGACAGTAAGACAGTGCCTCACCTTTTTTTCCTATCTTCACTACTGATTTACCCGATGACCTTTGGAAAATGTAGTTCTCAAATATCATGAAAATGTTTATGATGACCTCAAAGTACTTCCACAACACCACATAATTTCTGTGACATTACTATACTATACTTACAGGACCCCTAGAATGAGTATTGTAAAAATTACGTACTTAAGTGAGACCCAATTTACTAAGAATTCTGAACTTTGTACCTTTAGATAGGATTCATTTCCTTGATTTTGTTTTTTTGAGACAGGGTCTCAGTATGTAGTGAGACTGACCTGGAACTCACTATGTAGCCCAGGCTGGTCTCGAACTCAAAGCAATCCTCCTGCCTCAACCTCCCTCCCGAGTGCTGCGATTATAGGCGTGTGCCACCACACCCAGCTCCTTGGTGATTTTTAATGATGTTCCTGAGGGCTTTATTTTTCAAACCCGATGAAATCATTTCTGGGCAAAGCCCAAATGCCCTGAGTTCTCTTTGGCCCCGGTACTGACATGAATCATGAATCTGTGCTTCTAAAACATTCACTTCTTCCTCTTTCCTCTCTCCCCACCATCTACTTGCTTTGTTTAGTAAACATGATTTTTTAAATATAAAAGGAACAAATATAAGATTTTCTAAAACCAAAATAAAAAATTACCACACCGACAGCAGTTAACAGTTTTCATAATTTAATGAAAAAGTATTGGTAAAAAGGTGACATTTGAAAAAGACTGAGTTTATCTTGGAAAACTGGACTATAAAGACAAAATGCAAAAAATTAAGAAACAAGGTTAAGAGGTAATACAACAACAAAATGTAACAAATGCATTTTGGGGCAACTGAAATGTATACAACTGAAGGCTCCTTCATTTAACTAGGAAAATCCTGTAAAAGCATTACCACTATATTTCCCTGACTGGAATGATACTTTAGTCCATTCTCTCCCCAGTGGCATTACATATGGAATTTGGCTAAAGCACTGTTTTGATGTTTTCTTTTCCTCTCACTCATTCAGACTTGAAAGGCATGAAAGGACATAGGCTACCACACTGGCCTATAACATAAGCAGTTTACAACACAGTTCTATTATAATCCAATACTATGAGTGTCAAATTAATATTTACCTCACGAGAACACAAAGTAAAAGCACAAAAGCCTAGTGCATGAATACAGGAAATTATCATTTTTTTCATTCAAACAAAATATAGGACACCTAGCACATGTTATGTCATGTTCACATGTACATAGGCACCAAAGAAACATTTTGAAGATAGAGCCAAAGGAGAGGCGAAATAAAGTTTTCAGAAAATGAGAGAGAGAGAGAAAAAAAAGCAAAGAACCCATTAACAAGGCTACAAGAACAAAAATGGGGGGAGAGGAAAACTGCCCAATCTTTCTTCCCTATGGATAGAAAGAGGACCCCTGCCTCCACTGGCACCTACTGTAACTGGTCTGTTTCTCCAATAAGAAACTTCAAAAATTGGAAATGGGTCTTTTTTGTATCAAAATTTCCACTACATTTTCCCAAACTAGAAGAAAGAGAATATTAATTTAAGGCTAAGAAGAAGAGAGCTGAGAATTATAGTCTGCTTCACATTTTAAAAACTGCAACTTTTTCACCTTTCTTAAATCGGAAGCAGACATATTTTATGCCCTCTCCTGAAATGTAATTATTCTCTTCCTCCAGAAATTAATCAAGGCTGATCATTTAGGAACAGGGTATAAACAACTTCTGAAAAATGGCTCCAGCCGTTTTGTTTGGGAAACTGCCTCAGATTCAAAATTGATACAAAGCTAAATTATATCCATGTGTTAAACACATGCTTTCAAATTCTGTCTGACAATAAAGATCTGTTTCAAAATTAAAGCAGGTAAGAATACTTAACCTCTGTGCATTTTATATTTTAATTATACCTCAATAAAATTTTTATAAACATTAAAGCAGGTATACAAAAATTGTCAGCCAAACTTATTTTAGTCAAACTTATTTGAAAACAACACAAAACCCTGACCTGGTACAAAGATCCCAGAAATGGTCTCACTTTGGGAAAGGCTCTGGGATTCTTACAAATGCCTAAACAGAGAAAATCAAAGCATTTTCCTTGGTAAGACTTTTGTACTTCTGTAAACACTATCCACAAGTTAGCTTGTTATGCTTGTTAGCTGGGTGAGTTATGTCTGTGTCCCCAACAAACAGGTCTAGGAACAGGCACTGGACACTTGTAAGAAATAGAAGTGACTTAAGTTACGATACTATGAAAAGAACTCAACCTTGTGCAGAGCAAAGGAAGAGAGTAGTGAGTTTGACAGTATCTGAGAATGTTTGTCTCCTGGTCTGTCCCTTAAAGACACCATGGAATTAGAAACTTTCTACAGACAGGACCTCGTGAGCCACATGCTGTAGCTGCAAAAGATAAGTAGTTTTAGTGTATGATAATCAGTCTCTTGCAGATCCATTAACAATGAATGCAAGGACTCTCAATATATAAATTTATTAATGTGTTATTAACTGGAAAGCTGTCCTGAAGTATTTAGTGAGTAAATACTCAGAGGCCCAAGAGCCTCTGACAAACAGCCTCTGGACAATCTGCAATTCTTGTAATGTGCTTGTAAAAACTAGACTTGAAATCTTTTCAAAATCTGTAAGCCAATTTATTATGGAAAATTTAATCTTTTCCCTGCAATTTCTCCTAATATATGCTAGAACCCTTTTGTTGTATGGATTTACTCCAATATATGGGGCAAAGGCAAAGGTTGGTTGTCATTGGGAGTTTTTAATCACCTCTGCATTGAACTATGGGAAAGCGGATGTGTCTTGCTTTTACCATGACAATCCTGTCGAGAATCACGGGGAGGATTTTCCCTATCTGAGCTATCTTTTCTTACCCTTGATTTTTCTTTATTCCCATCACTTTCAGCTTCTGAATCACTTAACTCCAAATCTGGACAATATCCATCATTTTCCTGATATGAAGCTTTCCCTGCAGACTTCCTAAGAAGCTGCCTACCCCAAAACTGCTCTTTAGTGCTCATGCTCTTGGTTGGCTTCACACAGCATTGAAGGTCCTCAGAGGTCTTCACCCACCTGTTGGTGGCCTCTTTAAAGGACCTGCTAAAGTGTTCTATGGTAGATTTTCTAAAGGTACCCTGACTGGCCAAGTGGGAACTGAGCATGGACTCTTGGTCACAGAACACCTCACTTGAGCTTTCTTTTTGGGTGACATTCCCAGACCAGCTATCCTCTAGGCCATTGGATTTGGCAAACTTGGGGTTAGGCTCATTTTTCCCATTCTCAATGGAAGACTGTCCATGGAGGGCAGCTTGAAGGGCTAGAGGCTTCCCCAGTGACTGCCCATGATAGAACTCTGAAGATGGAGCTCTCCGAGCAGGACTGGAATCCTTTGCTTCACTCCGAGAATGGCTACGGCTGGCCAGCAAACAGTTACTCTTGCTCTCTAGAGGATGTCTTGAGTATGGTTTCACTTTCAATTCTAGAGGCTCTGTAGGCACCTGCATGTTCCTTTTCGTGGGACCAGGGGAGCTGCTGTCAGGAGAGTAGGGTTGGTGGTCAGCCTCTGTGGAGCTGTTTCTGCAGTCTTCCATGGTTGATCTGGGCATTTTTAACTTCAAGGTAATTCTTGGTGGTGGGTAAAACAATGAGTTTTCTAGTGTATTTGTCAAAGGAAGTCCTGAAATAAAAAAGAGAGATTTTAGCAACTGATTTTAATAGCATGCATACTTATATGAGGGTAGCAGATGGATTGAGCTGAACTAGAGGATGAGGGCCTAGAGCACTACAGATGAAACACCCAGTAATGCCACACTATTATTCCATAGCTCCCAACCTCTTCACCTGCATCCTTTTCTTTAAATTTTTTTTTCTCTTTCATTTCTGAAAAGAATATTACCAGTAGTGGTTTGGAAGAGGCTCTACTTGTGTATCTGTATGTGAATGCATGAGTAATGCACAGTGCTGACAATGTGTCTCAAGTAGACATTTCAGACCCTTTTCTTCCTTCTCTCCTGGCCTTATTAAAACAAGTCAAATATAATACCACAGAAACAGTGCAGGATTTGGTGGGAGAAAAATACATTATGTGTTTTAGCCTGGCATTATAAGCAGCAGGTAGTTTCTGCCAATGTTACGTCCCTACCCTAGAATAATTTCCTGACTATAAATGACCATTCCATAATGACATGGGAAGTTTTTTCTTACAGGTGCGGGAGTTTAATAGTGGTAAAACCAGGAGGGTTACAACTAGTCGATTATAGGCTTGGCCTGGGGAGTACTGGCAGTCATTTACCTAATTATGTCACCCTATGGTCAATTAGAGTAAGTCTTCCTCTATTATTTTGAGTGCACTGAAACTAAAAAGAAAAAAACTCTACCAAACAGTTCCTCCTTGCTTAAGGACTTGACCATTGCCCATTATCATCTTTCCATAGTCTCACAAAAGTGAGAATTAGGCCAGCTCTTAGATGTCCCAAGAGGCTGTATGTATTCTGGAAGTGTCCATTTTAAATATCCACAGCCTCAGGGCCCACCACCTGTTGATGCTGCAAGCCATAATGAACTTGGCTCCTGCAATGAGAAGCCACATGGCTGTGCCAATCTCCTTGGCATGCAAGGACTCTTTCCTGTTGTCCTCTGGTTCTTGTTTAGCCAGTCACACTGCCCTTGACACTCACAAATATCCTAGTCTCTGATGCCTACCTGACACCTCATTACTGCATGTCTCTCTTGCTCTATGGCTGGCCCCTGTCAAGAGCTGATTCTGTACATTCTGCTCAGTGGCCCATAGTTGTTCAGGATCTGCTTACCTTTGTCTTTTAAATAAGACAGTGAAGTTAGTGGTGTCACTGGACATGACGGTCATATTTCAAGCCAAGCAGCCATGCTTTAGACACTGTAATTACTCTCATCCATCTCTCTCACCAAGTGGGCAGTGTAGTTGCAGGCAGGGATTGTGTCTTGCTGAATGTTCTATCATTTAGCTTAGTTCTTAGTCCCTAGCAGGTGCTCAATAAAGATTAGCAATTTAATGAAAATGCATTAACTAGGTCCTGGCTAAAGATTTAATAGATTATTATTAAAATGAATAACCTTGGAATTACATGTTTTCTGGAAACTGAAGTTCAATTCTATCCTTTCAATTTCTAAATAAATATGATAATTACAGAATAACTTCATGGCTCTAACTAATGGCTTCAAATGTCTGTCTGGGATCTAAATTATCTGCCCTAGACCTGCAACTCCCCTAACCCTACTTTGGGATCCCTTGCTTCCTGAGTTGATAAAGAAATAGGCCATGTAAATACCAAGATTGGAATGAAGCAAATGAGCTATTGTGGTTTATATGTAGATGTTCCTCCAAAGCCTCATGGGCTCATAGGTGGGGCTTTTGGGAGGTGACTGGATCACAGGGGCATGATACTTATCAGTGGATTAGTCCACTAATGTGTTTATAGCTAAGTGTGATAATAGAGAGTGAAGCCTGGTGGAGGAGATGAGTAACTGGGGTCAAGGCCTGGAAGAGCATATATCCTATCTTCCCTCAATTGCTCTGTGCTTTCTGCCATACCATAAACAAGCCTCCTTTGCCACACTCCTTTGTCATGTTGCCCTGCCTTGCAGTCAGCACAGGACTAAAATCTACAAACTATGAGCCAAAATAAACCTGTCCTTATTTATTTATTTGCTTGTTTTTGTTTTGTTTTTTTAGTTTAGGATCCTTTTTCAGTTTTATGTACTTGTAGGTGATTCCAAATGGGTAGCAGTGATTACAAGCTGTGAAGTATTCTGAGAAGAACATTTATGCTGGAACCATAAAACTACATTTCTGTGATAGCCTTTTAAAAGTCTGTTTTTAACTTTTGTCTTCAAGAGCTACCTTCTTCTTGTTCTCGTTCTTCTGGCCAGTAACCTTCTTCCGTTTACCTTTATCTTGCTCTAGAAAATCTTTTGGAGTTGTGCTAATACTCTCCCTTTCCAACAGTTTTTTAATTATCTTTTTCTTTTGTTTGCTTAGTACTTTCTTAAAACCTTTTATGTATTCTGGTACGGGACAACTAGCCTGCTGTGTAACATTGGCGACACTTCTTAATAATGGTTTATCATCTTCAGTGAAAAATGTAACAGCTCTTCCCTTATGTCTTGCTCTTCCAGTTCGACCTATTCTATGGATATATTCCACTGAGCTGGTTGGAA